TAAGGGGTAAGGTGGGTAGGGATAGGGATAGGGGAATTTGGTGTGGTTGTGGATGGAGGCGGGGAAAGTAAGCTTATTGGGTAAAGGGATTTGAGAAGACGAATGGGGAGGTGAGCGAGGCAATGAGTAAGGTATGGGCTGGGGTGTGGAGCTAGGGGTAGAAAATTGAGCATTTGGGAACGAGTCAAGAATGGGAAAAGGAACGGGGTGAGGGGTGGGGGTGGAGTGCGGTTTAGAAAATAAGTATGTATTAAGTAGAGGGGTTGATATAGGGATGCGTCCGTTTGCTACTTTATTCTGCAATATGTCATCATTAATTATGTAAAATCTGGAAAAACCAACGCTCAGTCTGTAAAAATATCTGAGCACGTGAAATATCTATGTTTGACAGTGAGCGGCCAAACCTGGAGAATAGGCCACATTTCGCGACACATCGGTCTGTCACGTCATTGACGGTGGTCCTCACCAGGGCAGTGCTACTGACTGAAGTGTCTTTAGTCCATTCCCAAAGGGGGATATTAACATGTTCTTATGCACAGTAGAATTTTAACTGGGCTGATTTATCAATGTCATGCTCACACTGTGCCGGAACAACAAAGGGGGAACTGCTGCTGTTTCTTTCCTCATCCTTACTATCGTCATTTTTCCTCAACTTCCTAGGAATGTTTGTCACTCTCTTGTGAAGTGCTATTCCGACGGTGCCTTGATAGTCAAAGCAGACTTTGTGCTGTTGAGGCTAGAGAGGTGAGCAGAGTAAGCCTGATTCCCCGTTTGGACTTCTCTGTTGACATACACCCCTTGGCGCTCATATGACCTTAGGCAGTTGCGAGCGCTGTAAAATCTTAGTAAAAGAAAATTGACGGTGGGTGGAGCGCTCAAAATTGCTCCACTCTTCAAAAACTCGAGAAGTGATTTAATTTGTTTGAAAATAATGGATTAAACGTAAGCAGCTGTCAGCCAGGATCTGGATATTCCCCGTGGCCTTCATCTGTTCCTATTTTTAACGAGCTTTGATTTTTTTGCGCTGAATTGGCGAGTTCAACCATACAACAAGAACTTCACGATTTGTTCTCTGTAACTTAGATCAATCTAGTAGCTTGACTATTTCGTAATGATCAACTCTTGGTACTGAGCGATACAAAGGTTTTGCATACAGACTAGTACTTTTGACAAATCATGTAGCCTCAGAGAACACACATTTCCACCTCATGTCTAGCAATTCTGTGTTTGAGTGAGAGAGAGAAAGAGAGAGAGAGAGAGAGAGAGAGAGAGAGAGAGAGAGAGAGAGAGAGAGAGAGAGAGAGAGTCGAACACAAGCCACATATATATTAATATGACAAGGTTTTTGGAAAAGTATTAAGATCTGAATAATTTTATACAACTTTTGCTTTTTCAAACTTTCAAATCTTGTTTAATAATCTGGTGTGGTGTTTGTCAATTTTTTTATACCTAACGCCCACGTTTGATACCTTTAACAGGCTAGAATTTTCGTTCCACCCGCCTACATGTATTTCCCCATTAGATAATACCTGTCATTACCCGCGTATTCCCTACCGCCCACAAAAATTACCAAACCCACTAATGGACGATATTGCCCAGGTTGGCAAGCTCTGACCTGGTTCTACTTGGCGAACTGCAAGCAAATGGGGCTCTTATTACACATTTCATATACAAAAAAAGACATTTTTCAACTATACAATCTTGCCAAAATTATGAATTGCGAACTTGGCCCTTCGCCGACGACTTGATATAAAAAGCAGTTGCGTACTCATAATATTTTCATTCTACTGGAATCTTTTTGTCGCATTTCGTCGGTTATATTTACCTGGTTCTGGAGCATGTGTGTGTTTTGTGTATATGTGTGTATGTTTGTGTGTGCGTTTGCGAAGGGGGAGCTAGTGTATCGTGGACAAAAAGCGCTTGGAAATCATGGTTTATAAAAGAGATGTCGGAGGAAGCAACTAAAAGAACAAAATGTTCGGCAGGCAGGCAGGCAGGCAGGCAGGCAGGCAGGCAGGCAGTTCAATTCTTAATTCACACCTTAAATTTCAGCAACTTAGTAAGGTTATCTAAGGGGCATACCAGATTGGCTTGCACAGATAGATAGATAGATAGATAGATAGATAGATAGATAGATAGATAGATAGATAGATAGATAGATAGATAGATAGATAGATAGATAGATAGATAGGAAGCCT